ATCAAATTTGCTCAGTCCTACTTCACACACAGTTAGCTACTCGCTTCACACGGAATGCTTTTCATACACTTTAGCAATGAGCACAACAATCTTCACTCGGAAAGTGTCTCCTCTTTTCTCGACGCCCGTCGCCCGCATAAGGAGAGAGCTGACAGGGGTTGGGGGGGGGGGGGGCGTCCGTTTTTGTCCGCACAGGAAGGAAACTGTATAATGTTAATCACAACTTTAATTTGGGCCAAATTAGCATTTTGATGAACTTGCTCGGCTGACTCGTGCACTCTCGGCAACTTCAAATGGAGGGTGTATGTAGGAAAAGGCAGCGTACTTAATTAACGCGAGCACACAGCAGATGGGCTCATTGGAGGGCCTGGCGCACGCACGCACACGCACCCACACACACAAGTGGTAGCTGAGAGTCACTGTTAATGTGAGGAAAAGAACACATCAGAGGACGTTTCCAAACAAGACTTCCCAAATAAAACGGCTGGAGGGAAACCATGTGGTACATTGCGCTGGGAGCTTGAAATGGCATGTGAGCCTTTTGGTGAAAATAAGAGACAAAAGAGCCAACAATGATGTTCAGTAGATTACGGTGGAAGCTTGGTCGAGCAGGCCGCTTGTTTACATATTCCCAACCGTTCCAATCTTGGAGCACCGAGTGGAACTCAACATGGTGCTTTTGCTCTCATTCCCTTTTCCCTCGGATTGATTTATAATGGAATGTGGAGTTCTTCCACTACCCCCCACCCCCTGCCCCCCCCCTCACATCAGCAACATCTCTCTAGTCTACACAGACTTCATATTCTCCATGACATGTCATGTTACATCCAATTAGATGATCGCAACCTGCTCGTAATGAGGTTACATGTGGCTGTCTAAAATTTAATAAATCACAAGAACACGAGGACGCTGTTCAAAAACACACGACATTTCCATGACCAAAAAAAAAAAAAAAAAAAAAAAAAAAAAAGGTCAACAGATGCATTAATTTGCATGAGGCCACGCGTGAGCAGAATGATCTGGCAAGAATTTTGTGGGAGATGTACAAAAACTTAGGCCTGTTCAAAATGAGCATGCACATGCTACAATTAAAGATATATATATATATATATATATGGAAAGGACATCAGGAAGGGGTGTTCAGAAAAGGCGCTGAGTCGCACTCCAACGTCATCAAACTGCTTCATTGCTTTCACATTTCAATATTACTGTACATGACTGAACCTTTTTTTTAACGCCTGCATGAACTTAGAGGGTTCAAAAGTGCTGCTTCAAACATTGCCATGGCGGTTAATAAATTTTTAAAGATGGCTACGGTCTGACCCTGGAATAGATTACAGTGGTTGAGTTTACTGTAAATGGTCCCAAAGTACTGCAAGACCTTCCCAGGTCAGGACTGGCGTCCGCCATTGGAGTGCGTCGTCACACGGCACTGCCGTGGTTTTAATCAGAATCAGAAATTGCGCAAAAATATTCATGCAATTATGACATTTTCAGTTTAGCAACAGCACAGAATGAGCTAACTAAGTATGTGCATCAGCGGAAGATTACGTTGTGATGGGGTATTAGCACACTCTGTAACCCGTGGACTACAAGTAGCCTTCAAATATTTTGTGTCATCATCAAATTTCGAGGTTAGAAACTGCACACGGTTAACTATTTTCGCAGCGGTGTAAAAATTCATGTTAACCCTTTAGTGCACCCTGTAACCTGATAACATGATAAGCTGTCCACTGTAGTAATCGCTGTCCTCCCATGTTGGGTTTTTTGGCGATGTTTTTTTTTTTTTTTTTTCATACTGTCGCTGTATTATGAGACCGGCAATAGGAAAATGAAACAAGGAGATGATATGAGACGATTGCTCCTTAAGTTCCTCATTAGTCATAACTAAAGCAGACCCCTATAAATAAAAAGTCCTTTTAGCCAATGCAAGAGCTCAACCATGACAGAAATACGACTCCCATCTATCCTTCCTCCACCTTTTCCTTCCATAAATAACCTTGGTGCGCTAGCCCCCTGCAATACCAAAAGCTTCTCTCGCACGCTGTGGAGAATCTCCAGCCTGCTCTCCCGCTGAGCAGCACAATTTGTAAAAACACAATCAAAAACGGAGAGATGGGTGCAGGGAGGGTAGGTGGAAGGGGACAGGGGCATAAGGTTGGTAAGTATCAAGGCGAGCTCCCCCGTGGCGGGACGCTAACAGCACATCAAGGGAGGCTGAATCTCCAATCAGAGCTCATGCACCCTCCAAGAATGTTCCAATTCTTTCTAAGCCTGTGGTTGCATTGTTGTTCTTCATGAATAAATAGAGTTTAAATAGTAGCCAGTTGTTTTGGAAAGGAACCGCAACCGAGCGTTTGCACCGAGAGGAGTCTTGAAAGTGAATTTACCGCGGTGACCTGAAGAAATTAGCAGGGATATTAATGCAGTGGTGAGGGTTAGGTTAGGGTTGGGGTGTGTGTGTGTGTGTGGGGTCAGGAAGGCTCAAGGCTTAGAAAGTGAGCGTTCACCAAAATACCTTCGGAAACGTATATAGGGGAGCATGTTTCGAACGGGTCACACACACACACACACACACACACACACACACACACACACACACACACACACAGATAAATGCTAGTTGTTATAACTTCACCTGTTGTTTTAGCCTGCACTTGACAGCTGGTGTTTTGAATGAATTAATCTGAAAGGTGTTTTGTTTTTGTTGTTTTAAGTGGCTACATATTTGAAAAATATGTCACTCATGCGTCTACCTGTAGTCCACTTGGCATTTGGGGGACCTTCTTCTAATTCCGAATCTGTTGTTTTTTTTTTGTTTTTTTTTGTAAATGTGTCAGAAATGAGAAAATAATCAAGAGGTGAAGCCTTGTGAGGCTAATTCCGAGTCCATCGGAAGTCATTAAACGAGGGGCGCTCCTGCGCATGCGCACCGAAGAGAGAGCGTCAGAAGGAGAAATCTCCAATTATGGCACAATGCAGCATCAATTTCAGGGCTAATTATGTGCGTAATGAGCTCACCATCATGCGTCCGCGCCCTCGTCACAGAACACCCCATAGCCCCTACACTGCCCCGCACCCCAACCAGCCCCCAGCACCCCGCCCCGCCCATGCTCACACAGCAGCTCTCCATTTGAGCTCGGGCGAACTAATTAAAAATGTCCATGCGCAGCGGCGCTCTCATCTGATTCCCGCAGTGGAAATTAATCCGCCCATAAATGTGTTTGACGGAGGCCCAACTATAGTGCAGGAGATCTGGACCGAGCCCAAACTGCTCTGCTCTCCATGCCCGAGCGCTGCATTGGGGGCTTGAGGGGGAGGGCACAAAAAAGCATGGGGGGGGGCAGCTTGACTTTGAAAGTGTCGTTAAAATACTAAGTTTAATTGTGAATATTGCGACACTAACCGTGTTTCAGTTGGCGGATAGTAGTAACCTTTTGATACGAAAACCCAAACAGCTAGAAATTGCATTATGTTGAAAAATATTTCTGTCATGTTTCAACATTTTAACATTTTCGAGTGGACAATGGCAGTGTGGACTCTTTTGACGAAGTTGAGCAAACTGACGTGGTTCTGTTTATCAAATATATTTCGAATTTCTGAAAAGGTTTTTTGGCGGGATCAAGTTTTAAAAAATCTATATTATATAAACAAATAGTAAAAATAAATTTGTTTTATCAAATATATCCATATTTTAACAGGCATGCTCATTAAGCAGCAGATTATACAAAGGCGCGGAGCTGTGACGTCACGTCTAAGTGACGCACATAAAGAGAAACGGGGGAAAAAAATAGTTGGATGAACGAAAAATGTCAAGATTTTGAGTTGGGCAATTGAGGGAAAATTTTTTCGTTTATCTTTTGTGGAAGTTGGCTTTCAAGCATTTTACAACATAGAAATAAGTTTACAGAACCTTGTATTGAACTGAAGTTTTAAGTCAAAACATTAACTCAGTAAATTGACTTGGAGCAAAGAATTGCTTGAGACAAATATGATTTACATTTTAAAGCGTTCCCGACTTAAATTACTGTTTTAGGTTAAAAATAATAATAATAATAATTCATTTTTGGCCATCTAAAATATTTTTTTTTAGTTTATTTAAGGCAGGCTATTTAAATGTAATGTGTTTATATCATTATTGTGCGCCCTCCCCCTACCATGCTATACAAAGATTTTATTTTTTATTTCTTTTGAATAATTACTCATGAATCATATACAAAAAAAAGGAAAACAAAATGTTATTCGTAATGCCACGCAAAACATGGGTTTTTCTTTTTCTTTTTGCTTACGTCATTACGTCAGGGCGGACAGCAATCTGAGTGACACATGCAAAGTGTCTAATATGAGTATGAAAAAACAATATTCATGATCAAAATGACTACTTTTATCAAATGATTTGTTGTGGACTGCATGTAAATGTTCAGCCACTCGAAACAAGACAACATGGATTCATGATTATTATCATGGCTTCGGTTTTCTCCTCGACTTGTGCATCATCATAATCTTTTACTGCCTTTCCATTTTATTTTCCCAACGTTGCTCATTTTTGAGAGCTTCACTATGTAACTAAAATAAGAAGATTGGCAAAATGTTGGCTTTATTTGTTACTGCGCCACGACTAATTCACATACTTGTTGAATAGTAATAACCTCATTAAATTGGGCCCCCCAAAAAATCCCGAGCCGTTGATTCAAATGATCTTATTCATATGTTTATTTTAATTATTAAAAAAATAATCCGTTTAATAATCTCCCATCAGACTGCTGCCAGCTAATGACAAAAACACAACAAAATCGTCGGTTTAGCTCACTCGTGCGACGTCGCACGGCCACAAGTGGCGTCCACGCGCTGGGCAGCTTTAAGACCCCGCCCACTAGGGGGAACTACCCAATCAGGAAAAATGAATGGGAGCTTGTGACCAATGGGAGAGCAGCGGGGCGTGTTCCGAGCCGCTCCTGCGAGGCACGGTGAGAAAGTGAAGGCGAAGGAGCCTCGTCGAGGGCACGCATATGCCACTCGTTGCGCGTGCCTGTAATTTGGGAAGGTGTATGCAGCGCACGGCCGCGTGTTCACCTTTCCAGGTGGAACTCCGGGAAGAGCTGAGAAAGGGGAACCGAACTGGGACGATTCGGCCGAGCCGGTTCGGGACAGGTGAAATTCCCAGCAGGCTAGGTAAGATGTCGCGACTGGCATGACTGATGTCGAGCAAGTGTCTGTATCTGCGACCGCGGTACATTTAATACTATTATGTTTTTTTAACATCACACGATTATTATTATTTTTATTTTTATTTTTTATTATTATGATTGTTATTCAAACAACGTGTATGAGGAAGCGGCTTGACAAAACGCGTGTGCATGCAGGCTGATGTTATTTCGAATTTACGACGCTATTGATGATTACAAAAAAAAACACAAACAAATTAATTTAATGTCACGAACATTCGTCACATTACATACAAATGATCAAATAAATTAGGGTGTCAATTTATATTCCACGCCATTAATTCTTTGAAAAAAATGTAAAAATGAATGATTTCCTGTTGCGAATTGTTCAAGAAAAAAAATAGAAAAACATTTTAAAAAGTATCAGTTTGTATCTCGTGATTTTTTTTCTGGCTTCTATTTTCCATCGCCCCCCAAAAACTTCTATTTTCCGTTCAACCAAATATAATGAATAACAGATCCATTTTATTTTATCCCATTTCCCGACGAACATGAAAGAATATAAAAATAAATGTAGACGAGTTAAAAAAAAAATTGGGCAACATTTTCCGGTAACTAAATTACAACGATTACAATAACTTTTGGTGTACATTTATTTCTGGGCAACCTCTGCCCCTATTGTGGAGGCAATATTTCCTATTACAACAAATACAGCCATCCGGGTGTACATTAGCAATCCATGGATTAAAAAAAAAAAAAAAATCTTTTTAGAAAATGTCATTCTATAAATACGTACATGAAAGCGAAAACTTAAGTGCCGGTTAATATTTCCTGCCTCTTTTGCTGTAATCGTTCCTGTATATGGCAGTCTTTGAGAGATTTGAATTGCTGGTTACTTTATATTAGAGCCTATGGTGATTGATTTAGCATTTACATAATTTAAATTGATTTTGTTCTGCAGCATATATATATATATATATATATATATATATATATATAAAATCTCACACAGTTGGCTAGAGCAGCAATAACGTTTTGTTTGGGTTGTGCAGGAGGCGATGGATGCAAGCCTGCACATCGGACGCATGATTGTGGATCTCAGGAATACCAAGGATATCTAAACACACGCACGCACACATGCTGGATATCCAATATCTCGAGTGCATCTTTCTTTTTGACTAAAAAAAAAAAAACACGAAACAAATCAGACTATTTGATTGACGATGGCGAGGAGGCAAAGCGCGCCGTCGATGTGAAAGGAGCACACCGGGCCGCATATGCAATCAGCATCATCAGCATCATCGTCATCATCATCGTCGTCACACTCATCAGCAGCGAGAGCAACGAAGAAGCGGCATCGACATGAAGGAGAAGTCGAAAACCGCGGCAAGGACTAGACGGGAAAAGGAGAACAGTGAATTTTATGAGCTGGCCAAAATGTTGCCGCTCCCATCGGCCATTACGTCGCAGCTGGACAAAGCGTCCATCATTCGGTTGACCACCAGCTACCTGAAGATGAGGATCGTCTTCCCGCAGGGTGAGCCAGCACTGCATGTTTGATTATATTTTGGTTGCGGGGCCCTATAAATATTTTTTTAATGTGGTGTGAGTTAAACACTTGGAAGGTTGGTCAATGCAACTTGTTAAAAAAATATATGTCGACAAAAATTCATAACCCTCATTTCATATCGCTCACTAATAAGCGAATTCATCAGGAACAATTTGACAGTACAAAGCAACGTCCACAAACTCCAACTCACGTCAAAAAACAAAACAAACAACCCTCCCCCACTTTTAAATAATAATCTAACGAAGCACGTATTTAAAAACATTTCAACCGACTGTGTATCGTATCGGAGGAAGCGCGGCGGTATTCGGAGCAGTTTTGGCCTTATGTATCCAATCACTGCAAGTCGAAGACTCGGCTAAAGTGTATGTGACATTGATCGAGCTTGCAGCCTTGCAAATAAAGCGAAGACCTCCATCCTCATCTCTCTTTTTTTTTTTTTTTTTTATGCCGGTATAACATGTAAGGCAGTTCTCTGCGGGCTGCGTGACTGCGAGCAAGGCGCTGCTATTATGGCGAGGGCCCTGCAGGGCTTGTAATCACCTTAAGCCACGTGAGCGCGAGGAAACACACACACACACACACACACACACACACACACACACACATACACACACACACACACACGCACACACGCACACAAACGCTCGGCCTTGCATGCAAAAAAAAAAAACATGCAAAAACGCTCTCTCTCTCTCTCTCTCTCTCTCTCTCTCTCTCTCTCTCTCTCTCTCTCTCTCTCTCTAAATCGGTTACAAGTGAATAAAATGCAGCGTGTTCATATTTTTTTTTAAAAGGCTCTACATTTGTCATTGTCACGCATTTGTAAGACTCTATTTGTATGACGATAAATAAGAGTCATGATTTTGTCCATAGCGAATAACGGAAATAACGATGACCTGCCTAATGAAGCGGCAATATGTAATCGCTTCTCATTTATTGGCCCGTGGACTGAGTTCTCAAACGTTTTTTTTTTGTTTTGTTTTGTTTTTTTGTTTTTTTACACGATAGCCACAACACATCACATTTAAATGTAGAACAGTGTGACGTTGACTTGAAATGCCGTTTTTATTTATTTTTTTAAATATGCAAGTGCATTTAATATTTGTTTTTATTTTGGTTATTATTATTATTATTATTATTATTATTACTATTATTATTATTATTATTGCAGGTTTGGGTGAAGCGTGGGGTCATACAAATCGAACGAGACCGTTGGATAATCTTGGGCGTGAGCTGGGCTCTCATCTACTGCAGGTCTCTCATCCTAATTTATTATTATTATTATTATTATTGTTATTATGCAAAGTGGTTTCTAACAAATGCCACTTTTTTTTGGTTTATGTTTAGACATTGGATGGCTTTATATTCGTTGTGGCTCCGGATGGGAAAATAATGTACATTTCAGAGACCGCGTCCGTGCACTTAGGACTATCCCAGGTCGGTTTTGTTCATTTTTTATTTCGTTTTTGCATGCGCTCGTTTATGTTCTTGATCGGAGTTGTTCTCCACAGGTAGAGTTGACCGGAAACAGTATTTATGAATACGTTCACCCAGCTGATCACGACGAGATGACAGCTGTCCTGACGCCACATCAGCCGTACCACTCACATTTTGTCCAAGGTAAAAAAAAAAAAAAAAAAAACACTAATTTCCATTCTGAGTTTGAATCTCATTATTCTTGTCTATTTGCTATGTCATGAGCGTGCCGAGCGACGCAATCATTGGAACAGACGTGTCAGTGTTAAAAGTGACGCGTGATTGACGCGCAGTGTGCGTAAATGTCGCCAAAGTATACACCTGGAAGTATTTAGTTGATTTCCTTGAGCCCTCCGATTGCTTACTTTAGTCATTTGCGTTATAGTCAATGTATAGGCCTGAATAAACTGCATTTCGGTTTGTCACTTCTTTTTTTCGTTTACATTTTTTTTTCTCCACAGTTTTATAAGTGCAGGCACGATTGTGTTTAATTGATGTGCTGCTACTAATTAATATATGAAAAAAAAATGATTTTCCTTTCAGAATATGAAGTGGAGCGCTCTTTCTTTCTGAGAATGAAATGTGTGTTGGCCAAAAGGAACGCAGGCCTCACCAGTGGTGGATATAAGGTAATATGAAGATGGGATTGGATTCATTAAAAAAATTATTAGTCAATGCAACAAAATGGTTTTAGTTTAGCTAACGTGACAAATGGCTTGCCCGCATTTGCAACAAAGGAATAAATAATTGACAGAACTAAATGTTCCTTTGGAGCAAACAACTCGTATGCTTTATTGTGGTAACTCCCACTGTTTCTTATAAATGTCAATTATTTTGATTTCAAAGTTGTTCCAACTGAAGTGACTGTTTTAGTTCCCCCCCAGAAAAAGTAAAAATCAGATTTTTTTTTTTTGGTTGTTTTTAACAGCGCATTAAAAAGCACCAACAAATAAACCAATAATTTGCACGTTATGCATTGTTTGGACTTGAATACACTTCTCAAATGATGTAATCATGCATCCATTCTTCAAGCGAGATTGTTTTGACATCGTACAGTGATCGACGTGTATGTTCCGTTTCAGGTGATCCACTGCAGTGGCTACCTGAAGATCCGCCAGTACAGCTTGGACATGGCCCCCTTTGAGGGCTGCTACCAGAACGTGGGCCTGGTGGCAGTGGGGCACTCGCTGCCCCCCAGCGCCGTGACCGAAATCAAACTGCACAGCAACATGTTTATGTTCAGGGCCAGTTTGGACATGAAGCTCATCTTCCTGGACTCCAGGTGAGCGCCCGTTTCCAAATGACCGTCATTAGGTGAAAGTTTGCAAGTGCCACCTGATAACTACAACCAGATTTCCCTTCCCTTGGCAGTAAAACGTAAATATGGCTCGATTTAAACATTTTTTTTTTTTGAACAGAATCTAATCATGTCTCTGCAGGGTTGCCGAGCTGACAGGTTATGAGCCGCAGGACCTGATTGAGAAAACTCTGTACCATCACGTACACAGCTGCGACATCTTCCACCTCCGCTGCGCGCACCACCTCCGTGAGTACGCCCGGACACATGCGGACCATTACGCAAACGCACACATGCACAAACGCGCTAAGCTCTGTCATCTGTGTGATTCCTCTTATCCACCCCCTCCTCCCACCCCCCAGTGCTGGTAAAGGGCCAAGTCACCACTAAATATTACCGTTTCCTGGCCAAGCACGGCGGATGGGTGTGGGTGCAGAGTTACGCCACCATCGTCCACAACAGCAGGTCATCGAGACCCCACTGCATCGTCAGTGTCAACTACGTCCTCACGTGAGTCGAAAACGATTTGTGAACGCTTAAAACTCACCTTGATGGGGCCTGTTGGTCGTTTTGTTGTTCATATAGCAGATTTTCATGCAATCCAACATGGGATTGTTTCCCCACTAAATTGCACGGTGGCGGACTGGAAACAAGTCCAGGGTGTAGTTTCGTTGGCTCCGGCCTCTTCCGTGACCCTGAACGGGATAATTGCGATCTAAAAAGAAAAAGACAAAAATAAATGAAAAATTTGGTGGAAGTATCATGTCTAAGATGCTACACATGGTCACATGGAAAATCATAGTGATGAGAGGGAGTGAAATTGAATTTTCCGCTTGCGCAATCCATGCATGTAGCTGACTGAAACGGTTTCGATTTTTTTTCCCCCTCTACTTGAGACCACTTCCGATTAAAACAAGCAAATCAGAAACCCCTTTTATCCACAGCGGGTATGGATCAGACTTACAAGAGGTGAAAATATGCACATTTGAGATCATATAAAAAAACAGACTTGAGAGCACACACAATAAAAAGTGCAAACACAACGTATAGAAAATACCACACATATTGTCATGCCTGGCATGGAATCTGTTATCCACAGATACGCCTCATGCCTGGATCCTATGTGGACAATGCACCCCGCTGTCAATCAAAACTATTGCAAAAAACGTGGCGGCGCACAAAGCGGTAAATTAGGAAAATGATGGCCAGTGTCCATTTCTAATCTACAGTTGCTTATGATCAAGGACTCTGACTCGGGTTGGAGTCCGTTTGAAGACGATAATGTAGAAATGGCAGCTCGTTGTTGGAAAGATGATGCTTGCCGGCTACTGTCAAGGTGCCCTTGAGCAAGGCACCATCTTCAAGAGTGTAAACTGAATTCTCCCCGAAAGGAATAAGGGTATCATATTTAAAAAGTTTGGATTCAGCTTCATTAAATAGAAAATGTGATTTCATATCCTCAACTCAATTTTATTCATAGAGCACTTACAAACAGCCATTGTTGCATGCACAGTGCTGTACAACGGAGTGAAAATTAGTCGTACAGTAACAAAGATCATTCAAACAATAACATAAAAACAGTAAACACCATAAAACGCTAAAAAAAATGAGAGTCTCAAGTCGAGTCCAAAGCAATACAGTCAAAATGTATTTTAAGACAAATCAATACAATGAAAAAAGCAGGGGACTGAAAATTGAACCCTGTGGAACACCAAAAGACTGTGGGACAGAATAGGACTCCAAGCTACCAAATAGGATCTCAACCACTTTAGAGCGCTACCACTAACATCCATCTGGTGCTGCCAATGAGCCGACAGGATACCGTGGTCCACCGTATCAAACGCTGCGGTCAGATCCGACAAAAGACGCAGCCTTCAGCGTCATTAGCCCTGAAGACGTCAATTAAACCTCGTGACCGGGCTGACTCTGTGCTAAGCATCCTATGAAAAACTGACAAGGACACCACCGTGACGTTATGTTCATCCAAGACAGATTATAAAATTATGTATGTTGTAGAAAAGGTACATCCCAAAATGCTCTCTTCCTGACAAATCTACCAAACACGGCGGCAGAAGTTGTTGTTATGAGAGCACAAATCACACTCAGACCCTTCCGAGACAGCAAGACAAACATCGGGGTTGAACCCCATCAAAAAGCCTCTACTGCCGCCATCGATCGGCAGTGTAAAGAAAGCAAAGTCGATCGAACGGGGGACTAGCAATCAATAGCTATCTCCCAGCGAGCACACGGCGGGTTCGCCTTGTTCCGTTCGGCTCATCCAACGTCTCATATTTAAGTGCGTGTAACGCATCCACATTCATATGGCTCTTCGTTGAATCGAGAGGGAAAACAAAGCAACGGCAGGCATTGTTTTAACATTCGAGAGCAAAACAATTACGGACATTCTTCATTGAATCGAGATGGAAACAAAGCAATGGCAGGCGTTGTTTTAACATTCGAGAGCAAAACAATTACGGACAAGCAGCCAACAAGACGTCATTAATAAAAGATGTCAGGAGCCGCAGCGCTGGTGCATTTCAGGCGCAAGGTGGTCTGACATTGACCCCGAGGTGGAATTCGGCTAACACAGCTGAGTTTGCACAATGGCCCGACATTATTGGCTCAGCCACGAGTCAGCAGGGTGCAGATAGGATGCCCCCGCCCCATCCCGACGAAAGCGTCGCAACTCCACCTCGCAAGAGCAAATAACACTCACTCGCTGGTGGCTATCCAAACACAGCCTTTCTCCTGAGGTGTTGTACATAAAGAATGGGTCATATTTAGAGGCCTATTAAAGAGGCCGGCGACGCGGGGTCACGGATGGGCCAGAGGGTTTCAAATGCCAGGCAGCTGCTATTACATACTGTTGATGTGATAAGTTATAATAGGCTCATGTTTGCTGAGCACTTGACACGGGAGCCTTGTCGCTACCTTCTGCGCTGACACTTTGGCTGGAGTTCAGTACCGGCGTGCTGGCTTGAAATTGTCAAAAGCGCGGAGAAGCAGGTGTCATTCATGTCATATATTTTAACAGGATCAATTGAGAATATTTTTAAAAGGCAGACTCAAATGTCAGGAGGATTATGGCTTGGATGTAGTGAACGAAATGTCTTGGACACGCGTTTTGCACTGAGCCGTTGTTTTGGGAAACCTACGATGTAAAATCGGGAGATGAAGTCAATCCCTGGTTGACGTCGGGCGAAAGACTGACGACAACCTGGACCGTTTATGTTTGCTTTTACAGAGACCAGTATCCCAGTTTAAATAAGATAGCTTTCCAGTTGTTGCTGAACGATATCTCTTGAACGGGTTAATGAGTCAACCTCCGATTTTAGCTAGCTTGTTAGCCTTCTTGTTTTGAATAGCGCTCCCAGTTTGGATAGTTGAAAACTAATTAGACTGGTTAGTAACACCAACAGCAGACTACAGTAATCACCAATCAGATCATTTATTTCCATTTTGCAACCAGTTATACTCAAACTGGAATTATTCTTCGAAAATGTCAACCCCTGAAATCTCTTTATCAAACCACAGTAGCTTATTCAAAGCTCGAACGAGACGCATTGATACAAAGTTGACCTCCGATCGCCGCGATCGGCGTCCATTTTGTGTCCGACGTGTAGATCCTTCTAAATCAAACAGGATTTTAGTTTTGCCGAAAGGCAATCGTGCTTGAACGCTGGAAGAAGAGCATTTAAAAATTGTGCCCGTTGCACTCCTAAGAAGAAAACCGCGATAATGATAAATCACAGCACACCAAGGGCTGAATCCTGCGATCCCATCACGTTACGGGGTCAATCCGTGGCGGGATATTAGGATAAATGCTAGCTTAAGCTTTTCTACGCGACGCCTGACAGCATTTTGTATTGATGTGTAAAAGGGACACGGAATACAAGGGAATGCAGCTGTCCCTGGACCAAATGAGCCCCACCAAGCCGGCTTTTCCTTACACTGACAGCCTCAACGAGGACAGGAAGAGCACAAAGTCACGTCTGACCCAGCCAAAAGCTAAAGTCAGAGTGTCACCCTACCCACAGGTAATCGACTTTGATAGAACAAAACAAGGGGGAAGAACGCCAGGCTTAATTGTCAGAGAGCTTCCAAACACATCTTCTTGTCTTCTTACGTCTCCAGCAATTTTCAGCCTTCAATCCAGAGCGTTCCGAGTCGGACCAAGACAGCCAATGGGGAGGGAGCCCACTGACGGAGGCCGCCTCGCCTCAATTGTTGGATCCCAGCGAGGCCGCAGAGGCATCGTGCGCCTACCGGCTGTATCCGGACTCTGGCTCCCTGTGCTACGGCTTGGGTCTCCTGGAAGAGGATCTCGCCCACGCCCAGACCCGTCCCCTCGCGACCGCCTGCGATCGGGTTCGATGTCAGAGCGGACGATACTTCCTGGGAGCCCCCCAGTCAGGAAGAGAGGTGTGGTGGGATGCCACGCGCTCCGTGCTGGCCCTTCCGAAACCATCTGCGGACAACAACGAGGGCTACGAAATCACGTCCTACCACGCCGCCTTCCACGGTGAGGCGTTTGGGTTGACGCCGCAACCATCTGTTTCTGGAAATAGCGCTGGCCTTCCTGCCCCCCCTGGTAGCCGCTTTCCAAAATGTTATTACGGGACATGCTAAGTTGTTTATGCCGTCTCTTGCCAGTGTGTCGATTGCTACCATCTGTTCGAAAAAAAAAAAATGGCCTCAAATTGAAAGCCAAGCCATTTCACAATGCGTAGCCCCAAATCACTGTTGTCTGCGTGATTCCATGACACGCATGCAGATTCAGGGCAGAAAGCATTCTTGCCAATAAAATATACGAGAGATAAATGCTGGCAGGAAGTGAAAGCAAGTTTTTGTTCTACCACGTCATGTTTGTTTTTTTTCTCCGATTTTTAAACAGGACGAGGCCACTGGGATGAAGACAGCATCATGAGCTCGCCGGACGGCGGCGGGTCCACCAGCGATCCCGGCGAGCGGTACCACGGCGACCAATTCCAAGCCAGTCCTCGAGAGCCCAGTAAGATGGAGACCCTAATCCGCGCCACGCAGCAGATGATCAAAGAGGAAGAGAGCCGCCTTCAGCAGCACAAACCGCCGCTCAACGTCTCCAAGACTCACAGTCCATGTTTCAACTCCTCGCTCCCGCATCACTCGCAGCTCACCATGCCCAGCGTGGTGTGCCGAGGCCCCGGCGCCCCGTGCATCGACCTCCCTTCCGAGCGCCTCCATCACCGCGTCAAAGTTCCCGGTCCTCTGGACAACGACGACAACACAACCAGTCCCGGCTCCCTCTCTCGCCTCAGCAGCCCCAGTTCTGATGTCATCCCCAGGTCCGGTCTTCCCCTCACCAAAGACTACATGCAGACGGATCTGTCCCCTCATCAGTCGCAACCTCAAGGAAGTCCTCTGCTCTATCCGTCCCAAGAGAGGCAACCTATGGACAGGCAAGCGGCCTATGCATTGACTGGGTATTCCTTGGAACACCTGTACGACCCGGAGAGTCTCAGGAGTTACTCGGGACTGGCCTGCGGAGGGGTCCAGTACGACGTGGCGTCACACGTGAGGATGCAGGCCGAGCAGATGCAGGGACACAAGGCCACCTCTGTGATTATCACCAACGGGAGCTGACAATATCTGATGCTGACGGGTCTCGAAAACGAGGATGCTCCAACCTTGACACTTCAAAAGCACGGGAAGGTGATTCACGTCGTCGTTCTTGACACTGGAGCGTCCCCCCCCCACCCCCCCATCACCCACCCTGCCAAGAAAGTTCATGAACTGATGCTCACGAAAGCCGAGAGGCAAAGGCAGCCAACTTTCGGTTGCGCTGGAAGGGAAAACAAGCGCGATTTTGAATGGCGGCGAACTGAATTCCCCTTCTTCCCGCAGAGGCGACAAAAGTTCTCGTCTGGTTAAACATCAAGCCAATGTTTGCGGCCAACATGTCTCACGCGCAATTGGCTTTGTTGGTTAATCTGTCTTGGATTTCCAGTGGCCGTATGAGAATGTGTCGCTCCGCTGGCTCCCTTTGCCTCCAACGCGCAGAGACGTCGGAGTAATGGTTTACTCAACATGGGAAAGGGCGAGCATCCCCCCCCACACGCCCCCCCTGGTGTAAAATATCAATGGTTCATTGTATTTATTTGTCAGTGGGCTGTTTCATTATGTGCCATCTAGCTCATGTACGGTGTTTGAATGGCAGCGGAAACAGCAAGCCGAATGCTTGTTTGTAAAACCGTTACAACCGACGCAGTCCAAATATTGTTCACTTTGAGGGGAAAAAAAAAAAAAAAACGCCACATTGTTTACATATCAGGATATAAATGTCCCGCTGTTTTTTTTTTTTTGTTTTTTTTTTACCTCATGTAGCATAAGTACAATCTGCTTTCAATCCTGCTTCACATTTGTTTGTCAGATCTGAAAATAGGGCGGAATGTATTCTCTTGTTTAATTTATAATGTAAATATCTCATGATGAATCTTTGGAGACGAGGGGGAGGAGATTATTTATTGGTTTAAAAAAGTTGTTTGAATCGGAATACAGTTTCGAAACAAACAGTGTGTCTGTGTCGATTTTTTTTTCCACTTTTTTGCACAATCTGATTCCAATATTGTGCCGTCACAAAGGTGAGAATATAATAAATGTTTAAAAAATATATTTTCGAAAGAAAGAATGTCATTCTTAAAGACAACAAAGAACTTAAATGTGACCCAAGCGAACAAAAAAAAAAAAAATCACAACGAAGCACGGCAGAGTGGAAACTGGGTGCAAAGTTCCCTTTTGGGGATGCAATTTCAAATGATATCGTCCTGTAAATGGTGGTGTGATACCACTCGATACAAAATGATATTGTCCTCACAGGTGTTTGATAGTTTTGATTTTCCAAGGACAAATATTCAACCAGGCCAAACAGCAAAAGTTTTCAGTTACCAGCCGAATGGCTGCAAAACACAAAACTGGGCGCACCGATGGAGTCTGCTTATAACGCGCACTAATAATACTTGATGACGACTGATATCCTGCAACGATTAGACAACACGTCTGGCTCCTTTCACACTCTCACAGTTTCCATGACATCAAGCGTTTTGATTTCCATAAACATCAGACGAGGTTTGGCTCATCTAAAAGACGCGCAGACGGAAAGCTGACGTCCTCGTCCTCGCATTCGCGTTGGATGCCGAGATGATACGACGACTCTTTTGCGGCCAAAGCGTCTGCTCGTAAAGTTCTTCTGGGTAAACCGATCAAGTCAGCCTTGTTTCCGTTCGTTTACTAAATAGATACTCGATGATTGATATCCGCTTAAGATGGAAGATTTTGTTTCGAAATGTCATTTATTTTAATTCCTGCCTATTTTTTTTTTTTTACTGGCTAGACACGGATTATTGCCATGGTGACCCCCACTTATATCTACATTGGTGGTTTTCTGATATTGCTGAACCGGCCAGGACAGCTCTATTGTTGCGCTAGCGTGATGTCAGAGCTTGAAGAAAGAAAAAATATCATCCGCTATCGTCATCTGTTTCCCATAGCGCTTGTCATCACACGTGTCACGGGTGAGCTGGAGCTGGCACAAGCGGTCTCAACTAGCCACACTTTAAATTCATACTGAAGAGTAATTTTGAGTCGTCAATCGACATCATATCCATTTATTTGGAACGTGGAAGGAGCCCGGAGGACCCCCTGAGAAAACAAACGCGTAAATGCGAAGCCCGGTGCCGAGATTTGAACCTTGAATCTCAGAACAGTGAGGACGACATGCTAACCGTTAGCCTGCTAGCATTCTTCTTCATCTCATATCAAGTGTGTGTGTGTGTGTGTGTGTGTGTGAGTGTTTGACATAATGCCCCCAAGTGTTAAGATTAAGACAACCCACAATTGAAAGTGTCGGTACCGAATTGGCAAGTGCTCGAATGTCAGTCCTTGGGCTAGTATGAAGAAAAAAAAATGGAGCATCTCAAGTTGTTAAAAAAATAAAACGTAAATGTTCACCCGGAAAGTTAATACCACTGCATAATTTTCAAAGGATCTTGGTCGTATGAAATACTAGTTGAAAACACTTTGGGTGTTTATAAACCTTATTGTTAAAATACATTAACATTTATTCCGATGTTTTCGAAAGCTGAGTGGAGTAGCAAAGGAATATGTTTTTCTGTGCGGAGCTAGAAATCCTGTGCACAAAGAAAAGGTTTGACTGACGCTTCGAGGGAGTGAGTACATCTTAAAATTTGAAAAATATATTATAATAATAATAATAATAATAATAATACAGAAGCTGGCGTGCCTCGTGGACATTCGCAGAATTGTGTTTCCAAAGCAGTTCAAGTCGCACACGTTACGCCTGCTCCTCGCATTTCTATGAATGTGTGAGCATTTTCGCCGTGTCTGGACCCCGGTCACGGTCTGGAGGCATCAGTCATGTCTGACATGATCATGTGAAGCTCTGCCAGACATCACCGCTGCGCCGCTTCCACGAGCGGGATCACAGATGCTAGAGAACGGCGTAAAATTTTGTCTGTGTGTGTGCGTATTTAGAGCTGGTTTGTTTAAATATTACAAAAGCCCTTCGTTTTTTTTTTGGGGGGGGGGGGGCGGGGGTCATGAAAATTGGGCTTTTGACTGATGTGCCCTCCGGGCTTTTACACTTGGCTTCACATGAGGCTAAACATGGGCTATTTGCCCAGACTCACATGCTCGCATCCCCCCCCCCTCCCACTGTACCCCTTCTTCCCGCACCCCCTTGAGAGCACTCCACCACTCCACTACAAGTCCTCTATTGTAACACAATAAATTACGGTACTTCCAAAAACAAAAACGTAAGTATTAGGAACACAATAATTGCTCCACGAGGGAGTTCTGAGTGAAAAGTTCTGAGCCATTCACTTTTGAATGCTTTTTTTTTTTTTAACATACAGCACATGAGCATCACCGCCCAAACTATTTTATAAAATATTCAACCGACTACTCAGCTTTTAAGAGAGCGTTTTCAAATGGTCTGACGGACCTGCCAGGTCAACTCTCTTGTTGCGTTAGCTAGCATTAGCATTTTGATACTCTTCAAAGTTGTTTACAGTGACTGTAAAGTTAAAAAAAAAAAAAAAAAAAACGAAACTCACTTTTTATGTTACGCTTTTAGCTTCATTTTATTTAATTTTTTTTTTTTGGAGGTGTGTGTGTCAGTTTTAGTTTTTATTTCGTTAAGACTTCTGTGGTTTTAAATTGCTTAGTTTTTACAGCGGGTTTTAGTTTTTATTTATTTTTTTAATTCTGAAAATGATTTGTTTTGGTTTAGTTTGTATTATTTATTTTTAGTATTAGTTTTATTTTTTTTATTTTTGGGGAATATGGCATATTTTTCAAGTGAAAGATTGAGGAGTGTCGTGCAACAAAGATGACAATTTTTTTTCTTCTGTACAGTAATACTGAAAGGAACACACCTGAAATAAACCACCAAAGCTCTTCTGATATTATGATATTAATTGACAAAGATGAAAGCGGAGGACATTTTCACTACAATCAGTTGGTTTTGGTTACTTTTATAAAGCTAAAATGTAGTTTCAGTCAGTGACCTTTTATTTTTAAACGCACTCATTTTTTTCAATTATAGTTTTAATTATTTTGTTATTTTTCATTAACGATAACCTTGGTGTCCAGTGATTCCCCCCCCCCTTTTTATCAGTAATAACACTTATGTTGTGGTTCAAAAAAATAAAAAATAGGCATCTTGATGGTCGTGCCAGGCTTTGACTGCGGGTCAAATGTTGTGAATTGCATTCAAAATTAAAATTCGGGCCCAAAATCAAATTTGACCATAACCTCTGCCAAATACGAGAAAAGTCGACTACTTTGCACGGTATTAATTCGAGTGTACACTATTTCAAAGTAAGTTTGTAATCAAATCTTAATTTAACCCTTTCATGCGCCCTATAACCTGAGAACATGATAAGCTGTCCACCGTAGTAACCGCCGTCCCCGAAAGGGTTGAATATATCATTCAAAGAGCAAATCCCGTTTTGTTCATGATTTCATTCCTCGCGCCAAACAACCCATCGCAGCTGTTTTGCGTTGACGTACTGCAGATTGGGAGACAGCGCAGTTGTCGCTGTACGACATTGTTCATATGATATACTGCGTGGTTAAACTTCGAGGTTGGATGGCGAACCGCACCGAGTGCGCGCGCGCACACACACACACACACACACAGGTGGCAAGGCTCAGAGTAGCCCCCCCCCCCCCCCGCCAATGTCGACTTGATTGATTTCAGGTCCCACATCGAGGGACAATTGCATATTCATACATCAATTTAAGAAATTCAGGCGAGCGCTCGGTGGGGAGTCTTCCTCCAGAAGCCACTCGACTGTAAAACGCTTCAACATGTTTCGTGAACTTTACGGCTTCCGTGAGCATAAACGTGCGATTGTGGAATTCCTCCGTCCCTCTTAAATGCATTGTTGCAAAAAAAAAAAAAAAACGCAAGTGCTGGCTGCTGACACCTCGGCTGCAGGCCTCGCTGCACCCCGGCCTGTTTAGATGTTCGGATTGGCTGGAGCAGGATATTGAGGTCATGCGGTCGATCTAATTGGCTGAGCCAGGAAACCGGGGGGTGGTGGGGGCTGTCATTCTGCAAAGTGGGGCGGAAATAAGGTTCCTTAGTGTGTCGGAGCACCTGACTTATGACTTTGGAACTGACTGACAGCGCAGAAGATGCTGAAGGGGGGTGGGGGTCTTCATTTAACGCAACATTATATATACATTTTAGAATAATTTGGATCGCGATCGACCAAGAGTCCGCGGACTGGTCCCAAGTCGATCACGAGTGGTGTCGGCCCTACAGGGGTGTCAAACTCATGTTTGTCGTGGGCCACATTTTAGTCCCTCGGAGCGCCATTAGGACTGAAACCACATAAAAAAAAAAGTCAATAATAACGTTTTGATTGGCTTTCGCGGGCCAAATCAAATGATTTGGCGGGCCAGATCTGGCCCCCGGGCCTTGGGTTTGACACAATAGAGTAAGGAAAAAAAAAAAAAAAAGATTTATGTTGCTGTGTGCTTGTTATTAATATTATATATTTTTTGTGTTACCGTACACCACAGGTGTCAAACTCAAGGCCCGGGGGCCAGATCCGGCCCGCCACGTCATTTTATGTGGCCCGCCAAAACAGATTATGTTCGGATATCCTTTATTTGTCCCGCGTCAACTTCCATGATCCTTTCTAAAATCTGAACCGGAATGTCAAATTGTCATGTGTCATAAATAACAGAGATTTTCCAAAGTGGCCCGCGACAAAAATGAGTTTGTCACGGCGTACACTGTGCAACCGAGTTGATTTCACGCCATTCATAACCTTTAGACCTTGTTTGGTGTGACCGTGCCACGTTTGATTTCAAGATGCCATTTCCGCCTTTAAAAGCTTTCCGAAACGCATTAGAAAAACCAGCTTGATTTGGAAATTTACTAATCCTTCGCGTGAGACTATTTAAAAAAAAAAAAAAAAAAAAGACCACTATCTTGACACGCGCACACACCCTGGCAGTGCTCAAAAAAAAGTGTGAAT